CATGAACGAGGTCTTGTCTCAAGCAAGTGGTTTCAGCTCGCGCGCATATGCACGAACATCTATTTTCAAAAGGCGTTCTTAAACGTTCTGTGTAGACGTGCTTCTGAGTGTTTGCTTTGCTGAGGTGCAGACTGCCCTCGTCGCGGTGTTGCCCCGGAGCTTGACGAAGAGCCGCTGGCAGCAGCAGCATTCCTTGGAGAAAGCATCCCGTGCAACACGTGCTCCAAGAAGACCCAGTGTGTGCATCCCGACAAGCCGATGATGTTTGCCTGCGCCGCTCCTAGTCAATCGACGGATTTCGAAGGTTGCCTCAATTTATGCTCAGCGATGCATACAGTCAGACTGCAGAAGCAGCGCGCTCAGGTGGGTTCAGTCCAAGGCATGCCTGAAGTACACAGAAGTCTCTGGATGTTTGCGCAAATTTGGGTCTGATGAGGTGCAGACTGCCCTCGTCGCGGTGTTGCCCCGGAGCTTGACGAAGAGCCGCTGGCGGCGGCGGCCTTCCTTGGAGAAAGCGTCCCAAGCAACACGTGCTCCAGCAAGTGCACGCAGTCTGCCGGAGAAGAGCGGCTGTACAACTGATGCCGGTTGCGCTTTTAGCACAGGCGTCAAAAGACACAGGAGTTTTCATGCGATCCTGCACCGGATGGGCTCCCTGCAACTCTTTGTCTCCTGCTCAACTTCTAAACAGAAGCATGAGCTTTGACTTCTTGAAGTTGAGTTGAAAAACACATGCTGACAGAACAACACGCCCTAAACTCGCCGTTCCATCCCTTCAGAAGTCAACAAGCCGGCAGATTCTGCAAGCAATTTTCTTGCCATCCGCTGCACGCACTAATTCGGCGAGCTGCATCGGGGCCGATGTGGGTGGTACCCCGGTTTGAGGCAGAGGTTGCAGAACGCGAGTTCGCAGTTTGAGACAGGGGGGACACCCGCGGCCACTGTATTACCCTGATCGGCTACGCATGTGTTTGAAGCTACCGCCGGCTGTCAGACAACAGTGCCTCGACCAGACTAATTATGTAACTGTGCGATGTCGTGCTTTTTTTTCTGACTGCCTCTTTGGCTTTTGCATCTAGTAGGATTCTGGATTTTTCCTTGCTGGCGTGACCACCTGCAGATAGAAGGATCGGGATCTAAGGGTCGTTCGAGCAGAATCCATGCCGTTTGATGCAGGTCCAGTGCTTTATGGCCTTTGCTGTAAAGGCCAGGTGTAAGCCACACTGGGCGCCACCTGCCGGTGTGCATCCGTTGATGTAGCTTGCACTCCAAGTGGTACAGGACTGGGTACAGTGCCGACGACCACCAGAGACATCACAGAAACCTGCCGTGTTTCAAGCCACGACGTGCAGAAAAGAGAAGCCTTGCCGAACAGGGATTCGATGCCCACAGACGTGGGGATAAACTGAAGACTATGAGTCGCCACTTTGCAGAAGGCCCTTTGCTTCAAGATTTGCCCAGATCAAGCTGTGAAGGCCAGAACGCTTCAATGGCCAGGACTGGGAGGGAAGACGGGTCGTCAGCCATAAGCCTGCGGCGAGGCAATTGAAGCATTCAAGGATACTATTCAGCCTGAATTAAGGCTTGAGGAACATCAAGCGATAGAGCGCCAGGCTCAGGACCAAGACATCAACGACAGCGGCAAGCTCCGCCCTCAAGCACGACCTGGGAGTTTGCTAAACTTGAGGTCGCGCTTATTGTCAGGATCCTACGTAGTATATGAGGGTTTATTCACATGTGATTTCGCCTGGTTTTCATCACGCATTCCACGAGTATGTCGGCTATGATATAGGCTGTGGCTCTTGTTCTGCAGTTGTGTTTCGATCATTGTGCTGCTGTTGCGGATCGTGACATGGTATGCAGCTGCACGCGCCAACCATTTGCTCCTGATGCTAGTTTTCCGAGCACGATGCATGGAAAATCACGCTAGTGTCGTGGTCATGGATGTCCTCTGTAGTGAGAGGTTTCCTTGTCGGTGACTCAGGCTGGTAGAGCTGTTCAACCTCTTGTGTGGAACTTGGCGCTTCTGCCAAGCTGCGATAGAAGTGATTGCTGATTGCATGTGGCACTTTACTTCGTCATCCCCTTAGCAGTCTCAGTAGTCAACCTCACCTTTGCAATGCTTGCTGTGAGCAACCCCGCTCTAAGAGTGAGGCGTGGCATAGTCGCCCGGAGAGAGAAGGTGTGGATCTTGGAAACGCCTGCTGGTTGTAGTGCTGGCGGAGGGTGCGAGCAGCTCGTTGCCTACAGACTGAGGTACTCGTTTTCTTCTGTCGCACAGCAGCTGGCTTGGCATGCGGCGGTCGGTGCCCGGAGGGTCAGGAGGCAGTCGGCACGAGAAAGTAGCTTGGAATCATGGCGTGCAAAATGCAGCCACACGTTGACTTTGACAGGACGATAATTTGCTTGCACCTTCCGAGAGCATGCGGATTGACGGCAGATTTCCAAGGTCACAAGTAAGCTTCTCGCAGCTCTCATGGAGCGTGAGCGTGGATCTCGGTGCAGGGGGGGGCTCGGTGATCATACCCCCACCAGTACGCAAGGCAGGAAGCGTATGCAGGTTTCAAGCTGATTGTTGCTTAGGACAGATGCATTCAGTTGTCCAGCTGCAAGAAGCAATGTTCAGGTTCGGTGTGCGGCCTGGAATCTTGCAGGGGGTACCGGGCTCGGCGAAGCATTCGCTGTGCATGCAGTGGTGCCGAGGGCATAGGTCCGATCCTCCTTATGGGTCTTGGCACCAGCAGACTAGCACTACTAGTAGCACTAGTCACAAGTAGAGCGACAGCAACAACTCGCCACTGTTGCTGCTGCTGCAGCAGAAACACAAACAATCAAGTAAGCCAGCCGACGATCCCAATAACTTCCAATAATTCAACAAGCGCCGGCCAACCGACCCGGCAACCAAGCCCGGTCGGCCGACCGACCGACTGACTGCTAGCTAGCCACAAACTAGCTTACCAAATAACGACAACATCTACGTAACTGCACATTTGGCTAGCTACGCACCAAAAACAAGAATGAGAACAAGAACAGCAGTGGCAGCAACGGCAGCAACAGCAACCACAGCAAAATCCACAGCAACAACCGCAACTGCAACGATAGTAAGAACAGCAAGAATAGCACCTCCACCACCAGCAACACCAGCAAACCAACAGCAACAGCTACAGCAACAGCAGCACCGAGAGCAACAGCAAGAGCAACAGCATCAGCAACAAGAACAACAAGACCAGCAGCAGAAGCACCATCAACGTCACAACAACGGCGGCAGCAGCAGCAGCAACAACCACCACAACAACAACAACAGCAACAGCAACAACAACAACAACCACAACGACGACAACGACAACGACAACGACCACGACGATGACGACGACGACGACGACGACAACGACGACAACGACGACAGCGACAACAACGACAACAACAACAAAAACAACAACATCAACATCAACAGCAACAGCAACAGCCACACCAACAACCAACAACCAACAACCAACAGCCAACAGCCAACAACCAACAACCACAACAACGACAACGACAACGATAACGACAACAAAAACAACAACAACAGCAACAACAACAACAACAGCAACAACAACAACACAAAAACAACGCTCGATCCACGGCAACGTGCGTTTTGCGTGGCTTGCGTGGGACGAACAGCATGTCAGTTTTTGGGGAAAATGCAATTTGACCCCATTTTCCTGAGGTTTTAAGGCATATTGGTGATTTTCGTTAAAAAAAGCGGGAATTACAAAATCTTTTTGTACGCGGAGTTCGCCAACTTGGTCGCAGTTGCCGTTGCTTGGAACCCCTTTTGCAAGACAAAATTTGCGTTTTTGTGTGGGAATACGCTTGATACACATTTTGGAAAAGCACGTTTCTGGTTTGTGTTTTGTCGTTTTGCGCCCGTGTGGGACAAAAGGCACTTCCTTCAAGAGAAAGATGAACAGGAGGATGACGGTCATGATGGTGCAATGACAAGGATGATGAAGTGACGGTGATGGTGTTGAGATGATGGTGATGAAGAGCCGTGTGCAGGAGCAGCAATGGGCACAACAGAAGCACGAGACACAACAGAAGTGGTGGCAACAGCACACCATTTGCATCATCATGGTCGGGCAATGGGTGCTTTCGTCTCAGAACGGATTACACTATGGACATCATCATGGTTGGGTTATGGATGCTCTCTTCTCAGAGCGAATTCGACCATGCATGTCAGCATGGTCGGGCCATGGATGCTCTCTTCTCAGAACCGGGACGTCATCATGGTTGGGCCATGGATGCGCTCATGTCACGACGGAGTAGACCATGGACGTCATCATGGTTGGGCTGCTCTCTTCTCAGAGCGGATTAGACCGTGGACGTCATCATGTCTGGGCCATGGATGCTTTCGTCTCAGAACGGATTAGATCATGGATGTCATCATGGTCGGACCATGGACGCTCTCTTCTCAGAACCGGGATTTGACCATGGACGTCATCATGGGTGGGCCATGGATGCTCTCTCTCACAATGGATTAGACCATGGATGTCATCATGGTTGGGCCATGGATGCTGTCTTCTCAGAGCGGATTAGATGATTAGACCATGGACATGATCATTTTTGGGCTGCTGCTACTACTACTACTACTACTACTGCCACCACTACTCTGACAAAAACTACTACTAAACCGACTGCCACTACCATGGCCACCACCACCCTCGCTGCTCCTGCTGCTACTGCGTTTGGCTCACGCTTGATACTGCCACCGTTGCCTTCGTACGGCTGTTGCTACTGCCACTGCTACTTGTACTTCTGCGACCACGACTGACACGACCTTACGGCAGGCCATGGTAGCGTTCCGTGCAATTACAGAAGTATCTGCGTCTGCTGATCGCTTGACACCTTCAAGGACACGCCACACAACGAGCGTGAGCGGATCGTGCGAGAGTTCAAGGCAACGCCAATCCCAGGAGAACCGCAGTCTCAGGCGCCCTGCATTGCCACCCAACGAAGGTGAAGCTTCCTGGCAAAAGCCTCTCCGATGCAGGTGCTGCTGCTTTCCGTGTGGGTAGGGGCCGTGGGTCCGTGGCCCAGTTGGAGCTGCTATCTACATGTCCCGCAATGGTCGTAGTCGTAGTAGGGATGTGAGACAGACGAGGCCTGAACTTGCCGGAAGCGCGCTGGGTCGAAGGCTCAGGCAGTCTCCACTGATAATCCATGTGCTGCAGTTCAGCAAGACTCTTGGGATATTTTAAGGCAGATTGTGTACGAGGATAGGCCAAACGAGTCTCGCTGAGACCTTGACTGTTCTAGAAGATGAACTGAGGTGGTGCATGTTGAGCGCGTGTGGAATCCGGCACTTGAGCGCCAGGCTGGATGAAGCCACAATCCCGACGTAATCATTCAATATGCCGCCGCATGCCGTGATCGGAACAGGAGGACGTGCTAACAGTAGCAGTGAGCGGCAGAGCTGCAAGAAGCGCAGCGTAGCGCAGCAGTAGTAGTGGGAATCGGTGTTGTCGTCCAATTGGTTGCCACATGGTTGTGTCGAGAGTCGGCCGCTTGGTAGTGTGTTCCAGCTGAGTGTTTCGAGATTGGAATCTGTGAAAGCAAACAGACGCGGAGCCCTGCTGTAAACTGACCGGCTGGATCTGCATGGCTTGACTCCAGATTGCTTTACCCCGTGTAGCCATCGTGGAACTGCCGCTCATGCAGTCACGCCGGCACTGTTGACAATCCCGTAGTGCTAGTTGTTTTCTAAAAGCTATTGTTTGTCCGGATAGAGTGAGCATGACGTCCCCAACACACCATGTTCGCAGTACTCGGAAACAATCACGGCTACCGTGATGAGCAACACAGACCACGACAACAGTCAACAGCCAGAGATCAAATGCCTTGTTGGATGGTCGTAATAATATGATTATAATATGATTACAATATTTTTAATATAATATCATATAGTAGAACATAATCTAATATAATATAATAGTAATCTTCTCGACCCTTTCGGCTGGAGGCCACCAGCCGCGCGCATCGATTGACCTCCCGCAAACCTGTGAAGGCGTATTGCCTCTTCATGCAGGCGAGAGAGGGGGCAGTCCGCAGTTGAAGGGGCCTCGAGCTAGCCACACCAGTAGACACCTTTTTTGCAAGTTTTTCACATCCTGTGGATATTGACAAGGACGTTTAGGAAGTGCTTGCAAAGGCACAAAGACCCTGTTCCCGCAGGAGCCCTTCTACAGTTGGTTCCATGTTGGCGGCGGTCTTGAACTGTAGCACTTCTAGTGATTCAAGTGCCAACTCAATTACTTGCCAAAGTTAGCATAGCTTCATCACGGACAGCCCTTCGAGCTATATAACTGAACAACACTCAGCCTTGAGAGTTGATATGACCGGAACGTTTGACCCTTGAATTGCCTTCCTAGGCTTGTTCACGCATCCATGCAAAAGCCTTTCAGAACCTAGGACAACTCTCACATGAGGACACGTTGGAAGAGCGCAAAGCTTCGGTGCTGTCCTCTAAGCCCAGAGCCCAGCCTCTGAGTTTCGGCGAAGAATGGCAGCCAAGGTTCAAAAGTGTTTGGACTCAGCAGCTGTTGGGTTCCTCCGCTTCGGTCAGTGCTGCTTTCTCTGTCACCCGGAAGTCGCCAAATCTCCAGTCCACTTGAGACCCCAAATTTCACATCACGGGTATGTAAATGATCAGAGAATAAGCCAATAAGCCACGCGGAGGTATCGTCTGTCTACAAACGTGATGGAAGCTTTGGACTTGGAACAGGACGATGTGGGGGAAGAAGGCGCGGCCTGCACTTCGGCTTTATGGTGTGTGAGCCAGTCTTTGGCTTGGGCTTTAGGGCTGGACGCCATAGCGTTTCCGGCTTCGCATTGCAGGCAAGAGCGAGGAGCTCGGCAAGGCGTGCTCTCTCGAGGAGCAGGAAGCCGCGATGTGTGATGCAGCCTGTGATAGGCGCATGGAGAGGAGCTGCGCGCGCACGACGCTCAAGCTCTCTCAGCCTCAGCTGTTTTGCTTCCTTTCTCTTGCCGCAGAGCCTGATCCCGTTTGCAATACCTCGTGGCTTGACTGGAATCTTGGTAGTGTGTGCGGCGTATGCGGTTGGGACGGTGAGGCTGCTCGGCGAAAGTTCTACCAGTGCCGACTCCCCCATGGACTGGCACTGAGACCCAGATGTGAAAGTGCTGCGGACTCCGACTGCACCTTGCAGGAAGCTTTATTAACGTCCATGCCCATGGAAGAGCGACTGCCTTTTCAGGAGCAGAGCTGGGAGAGTCGGAGCCCCATATCAACCCAAGATGTCGGCACTTCAGTTTCAAGCTCCAGCTTTTAAGAAAAATTTGACATGCGCTGATGTTTCCCTTGAGATGTTGCCGTAAGTTGCCATGCAGTTGCCATGCCATGGAAGCGCAGGCCCAGAGGACGAGGCAGATCTGGCCGAGGCGTGTCCAGCAGAGCCCCGATGGAGGCTTCGGCTGCCCAAGCTTTTTATGTCAGGCCGACCCAGAGGAATTCAAAGAGCCATCCAGTGACGTGGGACGCCAAGCTCTGCATGTTGCAGCTGCGAGTTCATGGGAACAGTTGCGGCGAGCTTTACGTAACTAAGTAGCTCAATTCTGGCAGCATCACTTGGACCAGGAAGAGGACGACGTGCCAGGAAAGCCAAAAGGCCTTGGGCATGTTGCTTGTTGCGAGTGTCCATTCAGTAAGGAGCCGTTCGTTTCTGCCAGCGGTGGAAGTCCTGGCAACAAGGGACCCCTCATTATCAGATCCGACTCTGTCTCACCATTCAATCTCGTCACTCATCGCTGTGATTTGGCACGGCCCGTCCACGAGCACTTGTAGTGTATGGCTCTGTCAGCCTTGTCCCCAGGAGACCGGTGCCCACTCTATCCGGCGCTTGCCAGGCTCCGTTTGGAGTTGCTCTAAGTTGTCTGCACCGTCGCGGGGAGTGACGACAAAGCAAGTGTTGATGCTAGCTTTGAAGTGTTTAGCAGCATTCGGGCTCTTCTTACCTAGTGGGTTGACTGTCATGCGACTTGCTGCCTTTGCCCTGGAGCTCGCTAAGCTTCGCTGTGACGTCGTGAAGCTTTGGGATGACGCCTGAAGGGATCTTGGGGGACCCTTTCCCTACAGCAAAGCCTGGCAAGTTGCACTGTAGGACTTGGGAGAATCCCGGGGACCCCTGTCATGGAGCCCTACAGTGTCACCGAAAGTCCGAAGCTTGAAGGTTGCGGCCCGTACGCTTCCAGAAGAAGATGTTGGTTGGGAAGCCGAAACCTCAGAGGTCTCGAGCTGCAGGCGACACCCGAAAGTTCGGTTCTACTCTTGACTCCGGTGGCCCCTTCGTAACATGATCCCGTTACGATGAGTAAGATGATTCTTGATTGCTGTGCTACTGGCGGTGGCCTTCTTGACTCTGGCGCCTCGGGCTGCAAACCGAGGTATGGAAATCCAGCAGATGAAGAGTTGTGGGACCCCGGAAAAGGGGGGGGGGGCGGGAAAAGACAAGCATCTCACCCTTGGCCAGCAGCTCACTATGTTCGGGGACAGCCACCCGCGTAATGTGGTTACCAAGACACTGACAGGACTGGTACACCGTGCAGGGGCACAGGGAGGCCGCTCCCTGCAGAGAAGTGGGGCTCATGGAAATCACCATGGCCTCGTGGTTTTTGCACATGGAATGGCTCAAGCAAAATTCCAAGAGGGCTGCCTTGACTTGAAGTGGCGAGGTTTTCTCTAAATCGAGTGCACGACGGCCCCAGGGCCTTGGGGAAATTCACTTCATAGGTTCCGCAAGCGGCAAGTGGCGGTGCAGCCATCGTTCATGACCTTGTTTCAGCTCCACTGAAAGTTTGACTTGTGAGGGTAGTCGGTTTCAAACGTCCCGATTGGAATGTGAAGCCTGCTGCAAAAACAACAACCACCCACCAGAGACAGCGCATGTTGCAGGTCCACGAGCGAGCCCCAACTTGCAGCACCGCAGGGAGGGAGAAGCTGAGCTTGCCCCTCTGAGCTGCTTCCGGTCATAGCATGAAGAGTATGATCGCCGAGCGGCTGAGTAGGGAAACTTCAACCCCTTGGGGTATATGACCCTACCATAATCAAAAAGTTAACCTAGGGTAGACTCAGCCCCTCAGACCTAAGATAAGGGTCTAGAGGGGAAATGGTGTTAGAAAGTGTTAGCATTCTAGGACATTGAACCGTTTGGTGATGTTGGTGCTTCTGCGGCTCTCGGAGTTTGAAGCGTTTGGGTGCTTGGCTTCGTGTCTAGGGGTTACTGCAATCCATTCCAGCGGGATTCATGCAGGGAATTTCACCTACACTTGTTTGTTGAAAGTTTAGTTCTTCTGAGTTCCTTAAGGTAGCTGAAATGATGGTGCCATTTAGGTAGCTGTTGCTTCACGTTTTGCGATCGCAGCGGCTCCTACCGGTGTAACCACTGCCCCTTAAACTGCCCCGTGTAATCCCGTTTAGATCTTCCTCTCCCGAGTTTGGAGGGGGGCTTGGGGACAACGGCAGACGACTGCAGCAGCGATCGCACGACAGCAGTCTCTTCAATGCCAGACAATGCTATACAAAGTGTCCATTCCCGACCAAAACGTCTTGAGTCTTGTCCGGTTCGCTTGATGCGTGAAGCAGCAACCCAGGACGAAAGGGTCATTCAATTATCCCCTTCAGCAGCCGGCCGAGCCGCATCCGACACGTGCGACGCCAAGAGGGCTGCAGAAAGGAGGGCCTATTTTTTTGGGTCTTTTTTCTTTTGGCTCCTTTTCCTGCTGCGTTT